GGACCCCTGTGTCCTGAAGTGGACCCTGAATCCGAATTTATTAAATCCCGTTTATTTCCTGATGTCCTTAAAATGAAACAGACAGCCAAAACGTGCTCCCGTTACTCTGAACGGCGATGCTCTGGGTTCATCATAAGTGGCCACGCTTTAAGGTTCTGCCATTTCAAGGCCTCTGGCAAGAGGCACAGCTGGAATGATTTCGCTTTAACCAGTTCTTCCCAAGTTCTAGCTGCACTTTTTCACTGGAATTCTCACTCTTTTAACCTGTTCTGTGGGGCCTGGAACAGAAAGCACCCCTGTTCCTGACTCCACCGAGAAGCTGTGCGGTCTTTGGAACACCGAGACTCATCTGGAAAGATTCCCAGTCTGACAGCTGAGCTGGAGGCCAGAGCAAGCTCGGTCCCCGTCCCCCCTCTCCCCCCGCCATCGGGAGGCAGCGACCTCCGCCCGCCCCCCGCCTGCGGCGCGCCCTCCCCAGACCCGCTGGACCGACCGTGTGGTCCCCGAAGAAGCCCTATCCCTGTTTCTTTCTACCCAGTTTGAACCTCGTTGAAAGCAGCAGCACTGGCGGCTGTGGGCCTGATGTCCCCTGGGGAGACGCCCGCCCTCGCAGCCACCGGACCCTAGTGGCTCTCGGGACTGGAAGCGAGGACTTTGCAAGGTGCCCTCGTTCAGAGAGACGGTGGCACTTACGGTCTCCGTGCCGGTGGCTCCCATGAGCTGGCTCCGGAACGTGTCAGCCCCCCGCGCCCTCGCCCCGTTCCCCGGCTCTGGGAGGGGACTGGGGGGGCGGTGCCGGAGCTCGGGTGTCTGGGTTCAGATCCACCACAGAGGGCCCACGGGGCCCGAGCACAGGACTCAGACTCTCGAGGGCTGCCCACCCCGCTCCAGCGCGGATGTGAGGGAAGCCGTAGACAGTGGCTGTCACAGGTCATGGGAGAGGTCCATAACCGTGAGTTTCCCGCTGCCCCCACGCCTCCAGCCCCCCCCATCCGTGTCATGCTGTTAGCCGCCCCCCCGCCCCAAGCCGAGGCCGCTGCCAGGCGGACGCTCGCCGGCCTCACCCTCCCTGCCTGGGGGTTTGCTCAGGGACGACTCTCCGATTCTTCTGGACCAGCCCCCTCAGGCCCTGGTGAACACGCTGTTCTCTGAGCTGAGCCGGAGACTCCCCTGGCTTCCGTCCTTGGGATCCCAGGCCACGCTGGCTGGGGTGGGAATAATGCCTCAGGAGGGTGTCTTGCTCTCTTCCCGCTCAGGGTGTAGTAGCTGCTCAGTAAACAAATGGTCCCAGGCTGCAGTGGGGGTCATCCTTCCCTCTGCTCCTAACCAAACACCGGTGGGGCTCTCTTTCTCGCTCCTCCTATTCCCCCCCGGCTCCTGGAGGAAACGAGGGCATATCAATGACCAGAAGCTTCTCAGCAAAGGGTGCAGTAAACCGAGGCAGGGGTCTTCAAGCTAAAGAGAGGAAAAACTGAGTGCCAAAAATTGGGAGCTGGCCGTTTTCTTCGCCCCTGGATGACCTGAATGGTGGGGCGCCCTCAGTGTGGCTCGCGGCCTCCACCACCTCAAACCTGGCTTTCATCGTTTCTGGTCTTCACCAAGTTAACGCTTTACCAAAATGGCTAAGATTATCTTTCTATCATCATCTCTCTTCTTTCCTTGAGACTTTATCAGGGTTCACAGCACAGTCTTTTTCTATGTTTTTTTCTTCCTTTTCTTTTGTGCACTGTCTTTTTTCTCCCTTCTTTACCTCCTTCCCTCTCTGCGTGTTCTCCTCTCCCTCCCTCTCCTAGAGCATGGAATAATGTTCTGTGCAATGTAGATTTTCAATGTTTGCTCACTGGATCGATTTCTTTCACCTTTTTTAAAGAGGAATTCATATCTTAAGGGCGGTTTTGGGTTCACAACAAAACTGAGAAGACAGCACAGATTCCCCACATGCACCTCCCTCCCCACTTGCCCCCACATGCACCTGCCCCCACATATGCATTGCTTCTGCATTATCAACATCACTCCCTAGCTGATGAACCTATAGACACATCATTATCACCCAGAGTCCTCAGTTCATATGAGGGTTGTACTCGTATACATTCTATGGGTTTGGACAAATGTATAATGACACGTATCCAGCACTATGGTATCATAGAGAGTATTTTCATTGACCTGAAAGCCCTCTGTGCTCCACTCATTCCTCCCTATTCCTTCACCCCTGGAAATCACTTCCCTTTTTACTGTCTTCATGGTTTTGCCTTTTCCAGAACATCATAGAGTTGGAATCGTACAGTATGTAGCTTTATCAAACTGGCTTTTTTCATTTAGTAATAAGTATTTAAATTTCCTCCATGTCTTTTCATGGTTCAAGGGCTCATTTCTTTTTAGTGCTGAGTAACATTCCATTGTCTGGATGTACCACAGTTTATTTATCCATTCACTCACTGAAGGATATCTGGGTTGTTTCCAAGTCTTGACAACTATGAATAAAGCTGCTATAAACATCTGTTTTTGTGTGGACATTGAGTTTTCAGATCCTCTGGGTAAATACCAAGGAGCACAATTGCTGGATCCTATGGTAAAAGTATGTTTAGTTTTGTAAGAAATTGTCAAACTGTCTTTCAGTATGGCTGCACCATTTTGTATTGCCATCAGTAGTGAATGAGAGTTCCTTTCCCTTCACATTTTCACCAACATGTGTGTTGTCGGTGTTCCAGATGGTGACCATTCCTGTTCCTGCATAGTGGTATCTCTCTACTTTAATTTGCATTTCCCTGATGACATATGATGTGGAGCATCCTTTCATATGCTTATATGCATCCTTTATGTCTTTTTTTGGTGAAGTGTCTGTTAAGATCTGGGGCCCATTCTTTGATTGGGTTGTTTGTTTTCTTATTGTTGAATTTTAAGAGCTCTTTGTGTATTTTGGATAACAGTCCTTTATCAGTTGTGTCTTTGGCAAATACTCTCTTCCACTGTGTGGCTTGTCCTCTCACTCTTCTGACAGTGTCTTTGCAGAACGGAAGTTGTTAATTTTAATGAAGTCCAGCTTATCAATTATTTCCTTCTTGGATCATGCCTTTGGTGTTGTGTCTAATAAGTCATCATCCTACCCAAGGTCATGTAGGCTTTCTCTTAAATTATCTTATAGGAATTTTATTTTACATTTAGGTCTATGATACATTTTGAGTTAATTTTTGTGAATGGTTTAAAGTTTCTATCTAGATTTGTTTTTTGCATGTGGATGTCCAATTGTTCTAACACCATTTGTTGAAGAGACTATCTTTGCTCCCATTGCATTGCCTTTGCTACTCAATGGAAGATCAATCAACAGTGTTTATGTGGGTTTATTTCTGGGCTCTCGTTTCTGTTCCACTGATCCAATCTACACTTCTCTTCTTTCACCAATACCACACTGCCTTGATGACTGTACTTTATAGTAAGTCTTCACCACCCTGATTCCATATTTTTCCCCCCTGTGTGCTTAAGTAGAAAGTGCCCTACACTTAAATAATACCAGCTTTTTGAGCTGAGAGACTCAATGCCATTATGATATTGATTTAAGTTTATCAGACGGCTGGGAGGCTGAGATTCTCTACATGGAAGTATATCCTTGACTTTTTGTGTGTTTAGAAGGACTATAGCAACCAATAAAATTAGTAAAAAGGGAGAAGGCTTGTGTGTGTGCCTTTCTATACTGAGTTTTCATAGGACCTTTTGGGTTTGAGCCCATTCCTCAAAGATAGGAAGTGAGTAATTTGGAAAGAAAATAATCTATTTCAATTACTTGTGAGGACAGCCCCTTCATGACACTGTTTAATGGAAGAGGTTGGGTTTCTGTTGTAATTGCTCTTTCGTTTTCTCTGTATCTCTCCCTTCATCTGTATTTATGTGTTTCAGGATTGTGCTTGACACCCGTGTCTCTAGAGAGTTGTCTAAGTTACATACACAAGAAAATCAGAGATGAAGTTGGTTAGAAGCCTATTTGAAGAAACTGAGATTCTTTCTCATATCTCTGTTAAGGATGTTTTCTGCAGTTCTGTTTTAGATTGGACTGTTTTGCTTTGGGACTTCCACATGGTTGTTCCCAATTTCTGCCCCCACTTTGGTAAATTATCCCTCAGAGTAAACCCATGGAGGATTTCTGCTACACTGGATGCTGATCTGCAAGTTGCAGGATGGTTCTGGCACAATCTGTCGATATGCATCATTCAAAGCAACTGAACGCCTCTCCTTAGATTGTTCTCAGTTCATGGTGCTGTCTACAAAAGAGCTCTTCCTTCCCTTAGTTCCAGGCAAAATTTTATGACATGGTTATAAACCCTTGGAAGTTGAACTCTTAATGGAGACATAGACTAAATCTCAATTATTGTGGTGCAAGGGTTCTTAAAGGAGGTTGTTGGGGGGGGAGTGATGAGAAAGGAGAAAGTCATGGTGCACATGATGACACGTAATCTGGGACCACATTAGAAGTAGTCACACAGCTGGAACCCAGGTAGGGAGGGCATGCAACATAAGTTACAGAATAAGTGTTAATTGTGTCTTTGAAACACTGAAAGGCATAACTGAATCTCCTGATTTTAGATCCATGGGTTGTACCTTAATCTCAGTAGAGCTAGACACTTAGTGCTGAGTAAGACAAAAAGTGGAGAAACCCTCATTGGTCAGTAGTGTTAAAATGAAATGAAGATCGCTTTCCCCCAACCCATATAGATGAAAGAGAGGCCACTGAATGGTTAAAAAACAAAGCTGTGGTACATCAATTTTATAAACTCTCAGAGTTCTCAAGTTCTTAAAGAGATGACTTTGGACAGACACCTGAGTTCTTTTATCTCAGAGTCACTTCTATTAAAAACAAAACCTGCTTCAGTGGTGTCCTCAAAGGCAGCCCCACCTGACTTGTATTTGATGCTGGTCAAAAGTTAGTGATGTTTAAAGGCATGCTAATGAAAGATTTTTGTATATATTACCTCAGTGAATTTCCTGTACCAGGAAATAAATAGAAGTCAAAGATTTTCCCCCAGTTGTGACATGAAAACACAAATAGGGATTGACAAGCAGTCTGTACATTCTACCTTGACACTAAAGACAAATAAACTTCTTAATTCCTGAAAGAACATGGCTCAGAGAGGATTTATAAAAATTTTAAGTGACGAAATTCTGTTTTTAATTACACTTGATCTTAGCCAAAAGGCTGAGAAGCGATTCTCTGTTTTTAATTAAAATCTCTGTGGAACCCTGATAAGAACTGAATTGTGGTCCCCCTCCCCACCCAACACACACCAATGTCATATGTTGAAGCTCTAACCCCCGGGGTGATGGTTTTGGGGGATGGGGCCTTTGGGAGGTGATTAGGTTTAGATGAGGTCAGGAGGGTGGAAACTCCCATGATGGGATTAGTGCACCTTTTTTTTTTTTTTTAATTATAATTGACACACAATGTGACCCTAGTTTCAGGTGTTCAATGTAGTGGTTTGATAAGGGATTAGAGCTCTTTTAAGAAGAGACACAAGAGAGTTGCTCGCTCCCTCTCTCTGTGTGCCATGTGAAGGCAAAACGTTTAAGAAAGGTAGCCGTCTGCAAGCCAGGAGGAGAGTCCACAGCAGAAACTGACCCTACGGGCACCTTCCAGAACTGTGAGAAATAAATGTCAGTTGTTTAAGACCCCTGGTCTGTGGTAATTTTGTTATAGCAGCTCAAGTAGACTAATACAAGCCCCAATACATAAAACAGGTTAAAGTTGGTTTCTTTCCAAATTACTCACTTCCTATCTTTGAGGAATGGGCTCAAACCCAAAAGGTCCTATGAAAACTCAGTATAGAAAGGCACACACACAAGTAAAATTACACATAATTTTATATCATATATCATTATAGAGTTTATTATATAGGAGAAGGATCCTGTCATATAATTGTATATTATATATTATATTTAAATGTTTTGTAAGTAAAACTTTATAACATTTACTCATGATAACATCAACTAATGATAATTCTAGTTAGTTTGATGTTGCCTGATGTGTTAAATTTGATTTATAACATATTAGAGTATTTGTGGTGTTTTTATGTATTTATTTTCATTGTTAGAAAGGTTTAAAATTCAAATATTTGCAGAATCTCAAAGCAGCTCTAGGAAATTTGGCTCTAGAATTTTGAAAACAATTGACTGAAACTGTATGGGACTGCATTTAGGCATTTCTGGAAGGTGTTTTGAAGAGCCGTCTAGTGAGAATGTGGATTTGTGAGTAGAGTGGAGGCCACACAGCCTGGTGCATAAGAACATGGGCTGTCTGTGAGGAAATGTGGGCCCCCACTTACTAGGCCCACTTTCTTGATTTGGGGCTTGTTGCTGGGGTTGCCATAATGTAATCTGACAGACTGGGTGGCATAGACAACAGAAATATTTCCTCATAGTCCTGGAGGTGGGAAGTCCCCCATCAAGGTGCCGTCCTGGTCCGTTTCTGCTAAGGCCTCTCTTTCTGGCTTGCAGACCCCCGCCTTCTCTCCATGTCCTCATGTGGGTTTTCCTCAGTGTGTGAGTACTGAGAGCTCTGGACTCTTCTTCTTCTTCGACGGACACTAGTTCTAGCAGATTTGGGCCCCATTTAACCTTAATTACTCCCCTAAAGTCCCTAGCTCCAAATACAGTGACCTTGGAGGTTGGGGCTTTCACATATGGATTTTGGAGGTACACCATTCAGTCCACAAGAGGGGTGATTAGATATTTATCTCATAGGACTGGTGGGAAGTTCAAGTGGGTTGATATATAAAAAAGGCTTAGAACAGTGTCTAGCACAAGTGAATGCTTAATCATCATTAGCTGTGTTTTTATTAGAAAATCATGGCTTCTGGGCGCCTGGGTGGCTCAGATGGTTAAGCGTCTGCCTTCGGCTCAGGTCATGATCCCAGGGTCCTGGGATCGAGTCCCACATCGGGCTCCC